TAGCGGGAAACAAAGCGAGACTCTGGAGAGAGAGAGAGAGAGAGAGAGAGAGAGAGAGAGAGAGAGAGAGAGAGAGAGAGAGAGAGAGAGAAGGAGAGAGGGAGAGAGAGAGAGTAGGAGAGCTGCGGCCACACAACTCGACCAGCCAACGCAAGCCGAAATCAACGTTTTCACAAGCACGCAAATGAGTTCACAAAAACGCAGGTCACACTTGCTTGAAAACTGAAAGGAGCAGACATGCGGTCCCTCGACCGGTTTCGCCCGTCCTCGCAGGCATCATCAGGAGGGTGACTCCGAGGAGTCTCTATGCTCGAAAAGGGAGACTAAGGCCATGTCTCCCAAGCTCTATAGTAATGCCCATGTACGTTCACCTCTGCTCGTCTCGCGAGTCTTGCATCCCCGATCACCAACAAGATCTAAATATGCACTTCACACAACCCGCTGGTCAAGACGCGTCGCGACTATCCCCTGTCGGGTCTAACTTCCGAAACGACGTCAGAATCTGCCTCCCTATGTGTCCAAGTACATGCCCATCTCTCCCTCTATCCTACGAACGCGCTGGTACCCAAAAACCCTGTGCTATTTCCACAGCCAGGAAGACTGGTATCCATATTCCAAAAACGTTAAAAAATTTCCGCCAGATCGAAACGAAATAAATCACTAAATAAATAAATAAACGAGACAGACAAAATGCTTCAGTCAGAAATAAGCAAAAGGCTTCAATACCCCGCGCCATCTGGCCTCTCAGTTCCCCATTATGCCATGGCCCTGTGTACTGGTGCCTCAGTTATCACGGACCCGGGGCCCACCTTACACCCCTCTTTCTCGCTTTTACCCACTCCGATGATGCTCTCATGGCCGCCAGCAGCGAGTAAAGTGCCTGTGTCGGCACAACTTTGGTTAAATTGACCAAAGCATCGAGAGAGACCTCCGGGGGGTATCCCCAGAGGTCCGCTTCGCATACAGCAAAGCCAACAGCCCCAAGTACTAACTGTTTACTCGTCGTGTGTTCCCAAATTCTCCTCATTGTAGAAGTTAAGACAACCTTTTTTACCTCCTTTGCTGAGTAGGAGCTATAGTCCTGCATAGTTTGAAACAACAGTCTCCCTTCATTACTCAAAGCTCCTGTATTCTTAGTCACCGGTGTGTAATGCAGCCTCAGAGGTCTACAACTGACGAACGTATGGCCACCGACAAAGTCCGAAGTCAAATCACATTCGTCCTTGCGTACGATCTCCAGATGCTTATCATAGATAGACTCGAATCTCTTGAACAGCTGCTCCTCGTACCCTTCGTTCATTGCTTGCGCCGTGCTACCCACCACTATGGTGATATCATCCACAATCTGCCATCCAGCAACCAGTCTTCTGTCACATCCCAGTTCCCTCAAAAATCGCATCTCCGCCATCGCACAAGTGATAGATGCCAATATCGGACTTGTCGACTTCCCCATCGGAATGCCGAAAACTTGTCTAACAAGAGTCTGTCCACACTTGACAACCGAATGTCTCAGATCAAACCCCACCGCAGTCATCAGTCTTCTTAGCGAGATACTCACATACCCGTCTATTTTCTTCTTGTTCAGGCTGATAATACACAACCTACCTCTCATGGACACCCGGACCTGTTTGACCCCCTCATCTTCATACTTCCTTAGTAACTGTAGCCCCGCGTCCTTAACAGCATCGTGTGGTATCCTGGAAAACATGTCTTTAATGTCGTAGCATCTCCCTACCGCTCGCTCGCATCCTGCCCCTCTCATCCTCACTGTCGTGGCATCCAACTGTTTAGACAACTCGGAAATAGAATTGAGATAGAACGTGCTATTCTCAGCCAGTCGCTTCAGCAAACAGTGCAGCGCTTTCGCTACTCTTTTCTGCGCAAGTGCTGCAGGGTCCGCTGGTGCTGGTGCAATGGGCCTCCAACGGGTGAGGTCCTTGGGTTTCGGGATGACGTACGCTGCCCCCAGTCTACCATCGACCCTCCACTTCCCTATTGTGTCCAGGCGGTGTCTATGGAAATCCTCCCTGATTCCCTTAATAGTGTCTACTTCCACATCCAATCCACCGATGAGCTCGTAGTTCGCCTCCCAAGCAAAGGTCTTCCCGAACCCGTGTCGATATAGGACCGGGCACATGACAGCGGTATCCCCCTGATTCCCATCTATCGGTGTCAGCACCAACCCCTTAAAACGGTTACTCCACTCACGTACCTCGTTGTCCGTCCATGCAGCCGTCCCCTCCCTTTTATCGGTCCACACCTCTTTTAAGTCTACTACAGGTATTGACACTCCTTTAAGATGCTTACAAGCCTCCAAGATAGCGCGTGCTATTTCTCCCACGCTATTATCCTTTGCCGGTCTCGTAATTTTCCTCTCATTTTTCACAAATCCTGGCAAATCCAGATCCGCGAATCTCGTCAGCACATGTCCCTCATGCTTTGGTAAGTTAAAGTAACTGCACATGCAAGTCCTTTCTTCAACCGAGGCAAATTGCCTATGATTGTGCAGTAGCTCCCCCACATTCTCGTTTCGTGTCCAGACGATCCGAACTCTCGACTTCACAAAATCCGCCAGTCCCTTGTCATCTATGGCTCGTCCTCTCCGTAACCGTACGTACTCCCTTCTTAAGTACACTAGTGTCAAATCATAATTTCACGCATATTTTCTTCCACACGCTGACCCCTGTTTTCCTGGTCAGCACCTTGTCAATCTTCAATCGCAATCTGTGTTTAGTCTGTTTATCAGTGAACAAACCCGCTGTCCTATATAACCTGATAAGTTTTCGTACTGGCATGGTCGCTAGTTGTGAATCTGGTCTGGTCTTGCGCATGATCGCCCCTAGAAACGTTCTATTCCGTTCCGTAGTGGTCCTGGCCCGAACGATATCTATGACCCTGATTACTCCGCCTGACTGCAGGGTCGATTTTGCTTTTCGCAAAGTCGTCCTATTCCCCATTATCTCAAGCACCGTATCCCCAAACGCTCTCTTTAATCTCCGCTAGCTGTCAATCCACACCTCTTCGCCTGAGGAATGCAGGTCTACCCCATCCCCCACCCCTTCCTCCGTCTGTCCTCTAAGCCAGGTGAGTAACGAGGCCACCTCCAATTCTCCGAACTTAAAGTTCACAACTTTATCAACTCGCATCTCCCTCCTTCTCCCTTGTCTTTCCTGTCTCCTCTTTCTTCTTCTTCCCTTAGTAGTTTTCTCCCTCTTCCCAATATCCCTGGTGTTCAAGCACGGGCTAAGATCTGCAATTAAGAAACGTTCAAATTCAAAGTCATCCTTCCCGTTCACGTGCCTAATCGGTATAATGGCATTCTTGTCCACCCCAAACCTCCTTAACCAACGATACAAGTGTGGAGCAAGTCCCAGGGAATCACTTAACGTATTACGGCAGTGCTCTCTCCATCTTTGTATAATCGGTCTAATCGTGCAACCGATATATACCTTCTTGGTCCAAGGGCTAGCAATTACATACACTCCCCCGGTGTCCAACCTCAACAAGTCAGTCAAAGCTATTGATCTAATAATGTATTTATCTAGCCACGGTATCTGTCCCTGTACTGCCAGAAGGAGCATAGTCGACGTAATGGCACTCTCTACCCTTCTACCTACTTCGTCGGTAATCCCTTGTCCCCTCAGCTTTGTCCTCCAACCCAACCATCTACCGAGTTCCTCCCAAAGTTCAGCGTTTGATGGTGCTGTTAACCTTCAGTTCGATTCCTCTCTCAGCTGTACTGGAGCCGATCGAATAATGGTTGGCTCTTGCCTCTTCGCAGGTCTCTCCACCGAAATTCTGTCCTTTACGAACTCTTTCCTTGGTGTCCCTGATGCCTTCGTCTTCATGGTGTCTTTCTCATTAGCTTGTGCGTCGTCGAATCCATCGTAGGCTAGTTGTACCTGGTGTCTAGCTAGAATCTCCACAATCTCTGGCTTCTTGGTGTACTTAATTCCTCCCTGTTCACATATCTTCCTGAGCGCGTCCGCCTTTTTTGCCGAAAAGATCTTGTGTCCCGATATGCAATACTCTATCAAGCCTTTCTGCGAACACCCTGCAGCCAGCCCCTTAAAGCCTCCCGTCAGAGGTGTCTTAGGCTCTTCCTCATCAAGAGATTTCCCCCCCCGCATCTCCTCTTCCATTACCTGCGGTTGTTTCCGAACCCTGAAACTTTCCCCTTTCTCGTACGTCCTTATTGGTGTGCGCATCTCTTCAATCTTCCCCTTGTCCTTGCTGTTCTTCATTTTGGCCTTGGTCCTCTTGTTCGCGGTCCCTCGCTTCACGCGCTCCTTGTTCCGTGTGATCTTTCCACTCGTTTCAGATCCCGACGACGTATCTTCTGACGTGTTCTCGTCATCAGTGGAGCATGACGATTCCGAGTCCTCACTTGAATCACTAGTTCTCCTTTTCCTTCGAGCTCTCCGCCTCTTTGGTCCGCCATGTTCTGTCAGGTGCCTCTTCTTTTTCTTCCTCGTCTTCTTCGCCGATTTTTCACTCTTCTCCGTTGCTTTCACAGCGTCTGCCTGGTTTCTCCTCCATTCCTCAAAGAGTTCCGTACGCAGCTGCTGCTTAAACTCCTCCGCTTTCCACGCGAACTCTAAGTTTCTCTTGGTCTCCTCCTCTTCTCTGATTCTCTTCTCCTCTTCCTTTTTCCTCTTCTCCTCCTGTTCCAGTTTTTCTTTACGAGCCATCCTAAACTGCTCCTTGATCTCCTCCAGCTCCGGATCTACTTGTGATCCCCCCACGTTTCTCCCTTGCCTCCACCAGCAATCGTGCGCCATGTGTCCCAGCTTTCCGCAGTTGAAGCACGCGTTATTCCCTCCTCCCATTCTCCCACCCCCTCCTGCGTATCCTGTCGCACCCCCATATGCTTGTCCATTCCCGATTTGCTGACCGTTCGCAACCCCTTGTCTGCCACCTCCCGATGGTTCAGTGGTCAGATACATTTTCGTCGTCAATCTATGCCTCGTATCCTACTTCCTTCTCTCGCCCCCGATCTCTGGTTTTCCGTACAAGCTCAAGTCCTTCTTTCGTACCCGCTACCGTATCATAAGCTCCAAACCTCCCAGATCCTCGTCTAGGTGAGTATCAAGGTCCTATTCTCTCCAAATATCGATGATCTCCCTATACTGGATCGTGCGTCTTGTTTGCAAAGCCAGCAGAGTCGTCTCGATCTTTACCAACAAACTCATCAAACAATCGTACAGTCCGTTTCTCAAATTCTCGTTGTCAACAAAACCAATCATGAAGTGCATCGGCCGCACTGTATCCTCTACGTAATCCTCCAAAGCATGTATCAGTCTAGATCGTACGGTCATAAAACGCCGTCCCCTACCACACGATCCCCACAGCTAGCGCATGGGGTTTTCATCATGTCAGAAAACAGACCCAATCAATATCACACCCAGCCCATATAATATTATCCCGATCTCGTACCTGATATCTCTAATCTCTCTCCCCCTCATCTCCTCCCTTGCTCTTATCCGTCCTTTATCTATTCATAATCCTAAAAGATCCCAACCTATCGCACCTCCGAGTCCTTTCCACACGTTACCTCCGTGATCCTTTACAACCAGCCTATCATCACGCTTTCCACCCTTCGCTCGGAGCTATCCTCGTAAGCTCTTTCTAGCCTCCTCTCACCACCTGTGATCCGCAGTTACCGCGGTCACGGTCTTACTCCCATGCCGTGTGCGCTCGTAAGGCCGACTCATACCAGAATCCTCCTTGAACCTAGCGCCCATTACTCTCCAACCCGTGTCCCGGCATGTTCGTTCTCGACACCATCTCCGCTATCCGCATTATCAACGCATAAGTACCACGTCATACCCCAACAGCACGCTAATCCGATCCTTATCCGCATCATTAGGAATGCCTTAGTAACCATAGCATCGCCCGCGGAGGACATGCCCTCCGCCTTCCACTCCCACCTCGTTCTTACCTTAAAACATTCGAACGTCTTCTCTTCAGCCGCGATCTACATCCTTATGTAGAGGATGAAAATCAAGATGGAGATCCGACTGAGGATCTTGATGCCAATAACGATCAAGATGCCGATAAGAAGCTCGCATGAGGCTCACTGAAGATCAGGATGCCGATAACGATCCCGATGTCGACCAAACTCGCATGAAACTCGTACGAAGATGAAGCTCGCATGTCAACGCAGCCACCACACAGCGCGAACAAACTCGCGGTTACTACGTGCCTAGGAGTAGGAGAGTTGCGGCCACACAGCTCGACCAACGAACGTAAGATGACATCAACGTTTTCACAAGCACGCAAACGAGTTCACAAAAACGCAGGTCACACTTGCTTGAAAATTGAAAGGAGCAGACATGCGGTCCCTCGACCGGTTTTGCCCGTTCGCGCAGGCATCATTAGGAGGGTGACTCCGAGAAGTCTCTATGCTCGAAAAGGGAGACTAAGGCCATGTCTCCTAAGCTATATAGTAATGCCCATGTACATTCACCTCTGCTCGTCTCGCGAGTCTTGCATCCCCGATCACCAACAAGATCTAAATATGCACTTCGCACGATCCGCCGGTCAAGACGAGTCGCGACTATCCCCAGTCGGATCTAACTTCCGAAACGACGTCAGAATCTGCCTCCCTATGTGTCCAAGTACATGCCCATCTCTCCTTCTATCCTACGAACGCGCTGGTACCTAAAAACCCTGTGCTATTTCCACAGCCAGGAAGACTGGTATCCATATTCAAAAAACGTTCGAAAATTTCCGCCAGATCGAAACGAAATAAATAACTCAATGAATAAATAAACGAGACAGACAAAATGCTTCAGTCATAAATAAGCAAAAGGCTTCAATACCCCGCGCCATCTGGCCTCTCAGTTCCCCATCATACCATGGCCCTGTGTACTGGTGCCTCCGTTATCACGGGCCCGGGACCCACCTTAAACCCCTCTTTCTCGCTTTTACCCACTCCGCTCATGCTCTCATGGCCGCCAACACCGAGTAAAGTGCCCGTGTCGGCACAACTTTGGTCAAATTGACCAAAGCATTGAGAGAGAGAGAGAGAGAGAGAGAGAGAGAGAGAGAGAGAGAGAGAGAGAGAGAGAGAGAGGTGGAATGAAAGACAAAGACACCGTATTTATGGATGAATTTTGCATGAAGATTTATTGGATTGAATAGAACAAATTGTCTGCCTCGGTTCCAGAGATAGCGAACGCTGGTGTATAACCCTTCATCCTCACTTGTTGTTTTCTGTCCTGTCCTCTGCATGTGCAAACGATATCGACGTCCACAAAAAGTAGGAGAGTGTGATTGTGCCTAACAGGCAGACACCTTCATTCCAAACACAGCATCATCACATTTCCAACACAATTCATCACATTTCCATCACATTTCCATCACATTTCCATTGCATTTCCATCACAAATCGAATTTGATATCCAACATGAAGTCCTGTGTTCAGTTGTTTAACAACTGTTTACCAACACACAGTTCAACGTGCCGTACGCAATTCAACACATTACAAACAGATTACAAAATTTTTACCAACACTTTGTTCAACTGTTTGTCCTGTCATTTCATGTGCACGGCATAATTCACAAACGTTGGTTTCCTTGACTTCCAGTTGACCACGGTGCATGTGCCACGAAAAACAGATTATAAACAGTTTATTAACAAATGACAGAGGTTAAGGACCCATGATAAACACAAAAAAAAAACAGCGACAATTTTTCTATTGTTGCGATGTTGACTCCCATATGCTGCCTACACTGAACAGCGGCAGGATGACCGGTCCGCCTCTCCGATGTGGATCTAACGGTAGATTGCGTCAAATCTACTCTCATAGATCCACACTGGGGATGGGGGCCGGGATCGAACAACCGTTTGCTTGTAAAACAGCATGTGATGTGTCGATACAACCGACATCTGGAACTGCTTGGTGAGCATCTAGTCATACGCCAATAAGTTTCAAACACGGCCGCAAAGTCCCCTAAGAGTGTTCATTGTCGGTTCCTCACGTCGTTGATTCCCACGTGATGAGTACAGTAAACAGCGGCAGGATGGCAGGTCACCCTCGCCGGAATGGATCTAACGGTGGATTGCGTCAAATCTGCTCTCAAAGATCCACTCCGGGTAGAAGGTCCTGCAATCAGCCACTTCTTGCTTGTAAGCATCATATGATGTGTCCATACAATCGACATCCAAAACTGGTTGGTGAGCATCTAGTGCTACGCCAATAAATTATGAACACGACCGCAAGGTCTCCTAAGAATGCTTTTAGCACTAGAGTCCTCTCCTCCGACTGTTTGACATTTCGTGAAGGTGGTCATTTCTACCGATGCAGAAGGTTCGTGATCACTTGCATTGCTTGTATACGTGCCGATGGGTGCTCAGCGTTGCACACATGTAGTATTGTTGGCCCCTGCTGGATACAATGCCGTCTCGGATGCATCCCACAGAAGGACCTCACATGCTGCGGACATGCAAATTCCCTGGGAGTGTTAATGACAATCCGCGCCGACAACTGATGACGTGCGGGAAACAAATACACAGCCATCACCAACGACTTCTTGACACTTCTTGAAGGTGGTCTGCCACTTCTTAAAGGTGGTCAACCACCAAACAGATCACGACCTAACATCAACCTCGCATTAACGTTCCCGTCCGAGCGCAAATGGCAATCTGGGAAGACGACCAATGAGTGTTTGACCACTTCCTTAAGGTGCTCAGTTGAACACCGATAACTGCGAATTGACTCGCTGTTCAAATAGAGTCTCTCTCTGTCTCTCT